GCCCAGAACTGAACACAGGATTCGAGGTGCGGCCTCACCAGTGCCCAGTGCAGGGGATGGTCACTGCCCTGGCCCTGCTGGACACACTATTGCTGGTACAGGCCAGGATGCCATCGGCCTTCTTGGCTGCCACAAGCTGGCTCATGTTCAGTCATCAATCAGCACCCCCAGGTGCTTTTCTGCCAAGCAGCTTTCCAGCCACTCTTCCCCACCCTGGAGCGTTGCATGGGGTTGTCATGGCCCAGATGCAGAACCCAGCACTGAGCATTGTTGAACCTCACACCACTGGCCACAGCCCATTGATCCAGCCTGCCCAGATCCCTCTGCAGAGCCTCCCTATCCTCCAGCAGATCAACACTCCTGCCCAGCTTGGTGTCATCCACAAATTTACTGAGGGTACATTCAATCCCCTCACCCAGATCATCAGTGAAGATGTTAAACAACACTGGCCCTAACACTGAGCCCTGAGGGACACCACTAGTGACCAGTCACCAACTAGATGTGACACCATTCACCACCACTCTTTGGGCTCAGCCATCCAGCCAGTTTCCAACTGAGTGAAGAATACACCTATCCAGGCTATGAGCAGCCAGTTTCTCCAGGAGGACACTGTGGGAGACAATGTCAAATGCTTTACTATCCAAACAATGTCCACAGCCTTTCCTTCATCAACCAGGCAGATCACCTTATCGCAGAAGGAGATCAGGTTGGTCAAGCAGGACCTACCCTTCATGAACGCATGGTTCATGACTGGGCCTGATCCCTCTGTTCTCCTGTACGTGCTTTATGATCTCACTTAGGATAATCTGCTCCATGACTTTCCCCAGCACTGACGCACTGAGCTCAGGCTGACCAGCCTGTAGTTTCCAGGGTCTTCCTTCCTGCCTTTTTGTAGAGAGGCATCATGTTGGCCAACCTCCAATCCTCTGGGACTTTCCCACTAGACCAGGACTGCTGATAGATGATGGAGAGTGGATTAGCAAGCTCCTCTGTCAGCTCCATCAGCACTCTTGGGTGTAACCCATCCAGCCCCATAGATTTGTATACATCTAAGTAGAGCAGGAGATCATAATTTGGTAATACAGAATGCTCTTCAGGAAAGCATCTTCTATCAGCATAGATAACACACACTTCTTGTATAGGAGAAGCAACCCCATCTCACAGTTCTGCATATCTCCCATTACATTGCTCCTGTAACATAAAGATGCTACTAGAACTTACCGATGTACAAAAGATGCAGCTGCATTCCTGAAGAGTAGTCATCTTATCCAAGGAATATTCACAGAGACATAGTTTGCAAGTGAGCAGGGGCTCCAGAGCTAACTCTCCAGCTTCTGACTTGTCAGCTGTCATAGTGTGAGGACAAGCTTCCGCAGAAGAGCCCATTCACTCATTAATGGTCCACTCAGCCTGAAAAGAGAAATCAACAGCTGAAACATCCCACAAGCCATGTAGTCACTTCTCATTGACATCTGAATTTACATATTAGATACATAAAAGCACCTGCACATCCAAATGTACAACTTCAGCATCTCAGTGCCAGTCTCACACTTCAGGCCATCAAAATTTACAAAGAAGGTGTCTGAGAGCTCACCCCCGCAAAAGGCCTGAAACAGGGTTGGGTTCTCAGAGAACATTCCCCTTGCTGGCACAAAGCACCTCAGTCAGGCCACTCATCAAATTAAAAACCAAACAAAACTCAAACACATGACATATTACCTATGTTATATGCAACAGTACAGTATATGCAGTATATGCAACTGAAAGAGAGTAGATTTAGATCAGATATTAGGAAGAAATTCTTCACTGTGAAGGTGGTGAGCCCCTGGCACAGGTTGCCCAAAGCAGCTGTGGCTGCCCCATCCCTGGCGGTGTTCAAGGCCAGGCTGGATGGGGCTTGGAGCAACCTGGTCTAGTGGAAGGTGTCCCTGCCCATGGCAAGGGGTTGGATCTGGATGAACTTTAAGGTCCCTTCCAAGCCAAACCATTCTGTGACTCTACGATTCTATGATAGTGCTCAGAGCACTTCATCAAAGTCCCGGAAGCAGAGATCTGACTTGGGACAATAAATAGTTTATTTAAAAAATAAACTGCATCTGCATGTATACATATCACTCTGTCTTTCTGAATAAGTTTCAGAGTCCTACTCCCCCTCCCTATGGGATCCTTCCATCTTTATTGCACTCACATCGTTTCAATGGTTGTCTCCACTCCCACTTTCTGTACTTGCTGGTGGCTTAGGAGCTCTCCTAGGCAGCACAAGGTGACAGCAAGCACAGATTCCCACTTCCTAGACAAGCACTTCAGACATTTAGCCTGTAGCATAGCTGGTGGGTACCATGAACTCCACCTTCTTCACGACTTGTCACTGAGATAGTGAGCTGGCAGTCCATTGCAAGAGGGGTGGTGAAGGCATCTAAACCCAGGCAAGGGTTTTGGGTTGCATGTCCTACTTCATACAGGGCTGAAGCTTAAATCCAAGTGAATAAGAATATTTCATGTACAGTCCTCTTCTCTGCATTGCCTTGACTATGCCAGAGAGCTGCCTACTCGGGCGTGCGACTTTTGTGCATCCCAATCCCCAACATCCAGCTCTTCTATCTATTTCATAGGGCTCTTAGGCATCTGAGGGTTGTGAACCATGAACTAAGTGCACTAGCACTTTGACTGGGAGAATCTCAGTATAGCTGTGTTTCCACCACACATTATGGCACAGTAATACTTGGGGAAGAAATTTCTATCTTTTGAGAAGCAAGAAATAGAAATAGCATGCTCACATGCAATGTTTTCTGAGCTAAGCATTGGAAAACACTGCGCCATAACAACAACAACAAAAAAAATCAAGTCCCTCATTCTTACACAGAAATTAAAGAGAATATCCTCATGGTTAACATGGAAACAACAGGAAGCAAATTTGCAGATTTTATTCGCCTCAAAATAAACAGTGGGGTTCTGTGCAGCATTTAAGGCACAGGAAAATCTATTCCCATCTCCAAGAAGCTTGGCCCAGCTTCCATAGATCTGCTTCTGAATACACTCAGCTGATGGCAAGATGATCTTCATGTACATTTCTTACAAGCAGAGACCTTGTGGCTGGTTGCACACAGCTGCTTGCAGCAGCATCAAGTAAGAGTCCAGCTTTACTACATGTTAAAAGCTGCATCACGAATAGAGGTCACATGAACATGAAAACAACCAAGACCCATCTGTGTGCCTGTCACATCTGAAATCTCAAGAGGCAACAGGAGACTCAAGCCCTTTGGCCCACTGCTGCTTGCCTCCCTCGCAGTCCTGAGCATCCTCATGGCAGGGCTGTCAGGTCACATTTGGCAGCACATCACCATTGCCATTCTGCAGCTCCCAGAACAACCAGGCCAGCTGCAGCCAGTCAGTGCATACGTGACATGCCGGCTTCCGGTACCTGCTGAATTCCTCCCCAGAGTGAGAAACAATGGGAGTCATGGAGCTGGAGGGGTCAACACACAAGAAACATTGCCCCACAGCCCCCACTTCACAACCTGATGCACAGCCAAGCCCCATCCCCAGGCCTGCCTCGTAAGCCTCAAGCCCTCATTCCTATGGGTCTGCAGGAAGACCCTTTCTCTTCAAAAGCCATGAAACCACAACAGATCTGGATGGGAGCACACTTGTCCATTCTTAATTTCCAGACTTTGCATTTTCCTAGTCTAGCCTGACAGAGAATCCATCAGACGCGTCCCTTGGGATGTCTTTCCTGCAAGCAGTTTTATTGATACAAGAGTATTTTAAAGCCAAGATTTGGCACACAAATTTCTGGCCAAGAATTCAAAGCAAACTCTCTCTTTAATGGCTCGCTGTCACTGGTTCTGTGCTTGGGCTATTGTTAGTGCAGTCCCAACCTGCTACCATGATGCCCCCACAATTTGCTCCATAGGGCTGCAGAGCTGTAGCTCCAGCGTGGCCATAAGCCTTGGAAGGATGCCTCCCTCTGAGCTGGGAACTGCAATACTCTTCTGTAATTGCTGCAATGGGTGGGGAGGGGGGAATAGTGAGTCACAGGAAAAGCTATTCAGATCAAGAACTACCTGTTATTTAAAACTACATGCTAGACGTTATCTCATCATTTAGGAGGATTGTAACACATTTACTCAGGTATACTTTTTAACAGCAGCTGCATGTGTACAGGTAAGCTACTCGCCCCCACTCTGCACAGATCTCAAGTTTCTTCATTTACACAGTAAAAGGAGGCAATGTTAAGAGGAGGGTTCTACAAAAAGAACAGGTGGGAATATTTTGGGATGTGGGGATGGATATAAAATGGATACAGCTGTTTCCAAAGTCAGTGTTCTTTTTATAACCAAAAGGGTCATGACCCTGCATGCTTTCATTAAGGCAGCAGTAGAAAGATTCAGGTGTGTGACTGAAGTTTAGGGCCAGGGGCTAACTTTAGATGGCCTAAATCTGGCACTCAGTGTGCTAGCAAAAGAGTTTGCCACAGTGAGAGTAGGCTTGCAATATACTGTTCTGCCCTAGAAGCGATCAGATGCCAGTGTGACAGTTGTGGGGACTCGTTATGATCTCCCAGGCACTCTTGTCCCTGAAGACTGAAGATTAAATTCAGCTTTACTCCCTGTGCCTCCCTCACTCCTCCTCCCCTTGCACCAGGGTTCCAGAGCAGGACTAAGGTTCTCCATAAAAAAAGAACACCCTGTGGAAATCTCCAGCAGACACCACCAAGCAATCCTGGCAGACCAGAGGATCCAGCCCCCACCTCCCCAGCCCAGGCTGGCTGGCTCACCTCACCACGGCCCCCCTGACACGAGCAGGGTTCAGCAAACAAAGTGAACACAGTGAGAGCCATGGACACAGCTTTGTGACCTGCCTGCACGGCCCCTGGAGTAGGCACCATGGATACCAGCAAAAGAACTCCCTCTATGCTCCCTAAGGGGCCAGCTTGTCCATAAGCAGTCCTCTAGGTCAGACTGGCACAGGCAAAGCCATCCTGTTAGCACCTAAAATCTACCATCTAAGGGAGAGCAGATGCATGGCCTACTTGGCTTGCTCCTTTTCGCTGGGCAACCCAACCAGCTGGTCTCTGCTTCTGCCCACCTGAACTGCGACTTTGCTGTCAAGGGAAGCATGCAGAGGGAAGAGTTAATGGCTATGGAGAAGGGCAGCCCCATCCAATAGCAGCACTGGGTTCTGAAGAGAAATCAGGCCTGTGGAGGAGGTTCATTCCCATGATCAGATCAGATGGTGGGAATGATGGGGAGAGAAAGTCACATGTCTTCTTCTGGTTCTTACTCTCTACTCCTTCTCCTATTCTTTCGCATCACTCCAAGATGTACTGTCCTCTCCCACGCTCTGAAACCACCTCCTCAAATTTACTACCCTGGCAGAACTGACTTTTCCACTTCTCTGCAAAGAAGCCATGAAGCTCCACCTCAGCTGCATGCAAACACAAATGACTCATTTGGGATTGAATCCCAAATAAAGCAAGAAATGTATCACTGAAACTGTAACACAGCACCTAACTCCTCACAAAAACCTCCACAGAACAGCAACACAGGCTCCATGAGATGTTGCAGAATAAGGGTAGACACATCTCAAGGACACCTAATCCAGAGGAACACAGTAGACTAAATTCTGCACCAGCGTACACTGGTGGTGAGGAAGGGTCAAACTGGCCCCAGTGTGCATCAACAGTGAGGAACTGTGAAGATCCAAGGTTTTTTACATGCTTCTATCAGCCACATACATGTTTACTCACACGCAGAGCGCACTCCTTTCACATTGCACAGAATTTCCAGGAAACGAGATGTATTTCCTCAAACTGTACACTGCCCACCTTATAAGCAAGAACTGCTGGGAACACTCATCCTTCCATGGCTCTGGAAGAACTAACAGTGTTGATGCCACAGGATAAGACAGGAGCAGAAAGCCTGAAGAACGTGAGATATTTGGGGTCAACCCTAGGAGGGCGTACACTGCACAGTCACCAGGACCACAGTTTGCTGAGCACTCAGACCTGTCAACGTTTCCGTTCATCTGCCTGAGGACACTTTTGCTTTGTCTCCGGGGGGTGACAAAGCTTTGTGCTTTAGCATAGCACCGAAATGTCTCAACACTATCCACAAGCAAGAAAACACTGGAGTGTGCTCAAAGCAGAAAGAGAAAGGACTCCGTGGGGTGGGAATGACAAGTACAAGCAGAAACACTAACACAGAAGCAATGGAGATTTTGAGTGAAATATGAGCAAAAGCACTGAAGGAAGGAGGAGAGAACTTGTCTGCCTCCAGGGCTTCCTGACACCAAGGTGTCTGGTGTCTGGCTTTGAAATACTGGCCTGTATTTCCTAACAGCAAATACCTGCTATGCCTGCTTCTAGACAGGTGCCCATTACAAAT